GTGGCCCTGGGATCCCTGGGTCTCCTTGTGTGATACCCTCTCCTCGAGTCTGGGCGGGACCTATGACTGGCTTCCGACATGGGACAAAGTGATAGGATGTCCCTCCCTCAATTATATTATATTATATAAGACTGGGTCTCGCCAGCAGACTTATTCTAGAATCCTTCCCTCCATTGCCAGCTTTAAGGAAGCAAGCGACCACAGATTCTCCAACCACAAGGAAACGCACTCTGCCAACAGTGTGTGAGAGTCCGCAGGGGACTCTTCCTCTGTTGAGCCTTCGGATGAGCATTCAGTTCTGGCCGACTCCTGATTACAAACTTGCAGAGGACCCAGTTAAGCTGGGCCTGGGCTCCTGATACACACAAACTGTGAATAATAAATACGTGTTGTTTTAAGTCTGTAAGTTTGCAGAAATTTGTCACATAGCAACAGAAAACTAATACAGAAGCATGTTGCCATCCCCATCAGGTTGATATTGGGCTCCTTTACTTAGCTCTTCCTACCACTATTCTGAATAGTCCACTGACAGGTTGATTTGACAAGCATGTATAATGAACCTTCTTTTATTCAACCAGTTCCAGTGTCACTATTAATAATTATTCAACAGATGTTGCAGCTCCTTTTGGTTATTTCCAATAAACCATGTACATTCCACCTTTTAGTTTAGTCATAGCTCTATAGTACTTAGAGAGCTCATAAAACTTCCTAAAGCCACAGATCATAAATTTACACACAAACTTGCTCTTCCACAATCTGGTAGAGCCTCAAAAATGAATCCCTTACCAAAGCATATATCACAGTCATTCGATTATTCTTATTTTACCTTGCACAAATCTGAACTTTCTAAAAGTATCAGACTGGTAAGTCTGATCTTTTTTTCATGTTCCCTTTCCTGGGTCCCAGTATCTGAACTGGGAAGACATTTCTAGCGAAAGGAACAAAGAATAATTTTTAAGTATATTTAGTATAAGAATGCAAACAACAAAGTCAATTAATCGTGCTAGAATGTAACTATCAGGGGTAAAACCAGCCACCAAGGACTATTACATGAGACTATCTGGACCATAAGTAAGTCAGAAGGGGAATGAATCAATCCTTGACATAGCTGAGAAAAAAGTTTTCCAATATTCTCTTAACCCTCTGTACAACCTGCCCTGCCTTTATAGGCTTGAATATTAATAAATGCCTTCCTGGTCACATTTTGAAATCCAAGACTGTGGTACATGCCAGCTTCCAGTTAAAAACACTCACAATTTCTTTCTTTAAAAAAAAACTCTCAGCAGTAAGAACTATTAAAGTTGATTGGCTTGGGGTGGTTGTAAATTAGAAAGTACAGTCAGTTAACATCTTCTTATATTTTTCTTTAATACAAAAATAACCACTTTCTCAGAAAAAAAGCATTAAAAAAAAGGTTTTAATTCACCAGAGTACACTACAGAACCATTAGAATGCTGTCTTTCCAGTTTTTTCTATCATTTTTAAGAAATATTATAATTAGAAGGAAAATATTTTATCTAAGTAAAAACTTAAAATTTTTGTCTGCATAACATCTTATATGAAAAAAGAACACTGGTGGCCTTGTCTTGGCTCTGGTGCTAAGCTATTCATCTGACTTTGAATGAGCAAGCTCTGGATTGCCTGTCAGATGTGGAAGTAGATGATTTCAAGTACAAAGGGTCTTTCCTCCCTATTTGAACAATCTACGATTATGAGACATGAGTTTTCAAAACTTTCCACAGGTCATTCTAGACTGATGACTGTGGCGGCCTCGTCTTTTAATCTCTGAATTCCCACATAAAAACAGAGCACTTACACAGCAAAACCAAATGCTTGGAGACAGCATATCCTCTTGAACAACAAAATACATGCAGATAGGGAGAAAAACCCTACTATCCACAAGACCCACATAGTGTCTGCTGGGCAGAAGCAGAAGGAAGCAACAAGGTTGATGGACCTGAGAAGTGGAAAACCCCAAAATAACCAGTAAGTATACATAGAAAAGAAGGAGGGTCAATTGGAGAATAGTAGTTAAACCAAGGAGGGTTTATTTCCCCTCAAGTGAAGAGTGAGTGAGCAAGGAGCCCACAGTAAGATCTGAAGAGGCTAAGGCAGCTAGTCCCTACGAACTTTCAAGACTGGCCCAGGAATCCATTCCAGGAGGAGAAACTGATGGGAGTAGGACCAAAACTGAACAAAATGGGTAATAGAGACAAAGGGAAAAAACAGATCCAAACAGAAGTAGGTGAGGGGTGAACAGGGCCAGGAAGTGTCAGAAACCAGGCTGCCATATGCTTGACTACACAAAAGCAACAGAGGTCTAAGCTCTATGAACTTGAAAAGCCATCTTAAACCCTGCCACATAAAAATGAAAAACAGAAAAGTACTGAGGTCACATTCCAGGCAAAGTTATAAGAAAGAAGAAAGAAGAAAAAGAGCAGAATAACATCCCTATAAAACAGGAAGATATGCCACAAATAGAACCACGCATCACCCAGCCTCCCAGACGCTCACTGAAAGCCCAAAACAATAGCCTACTATTTCAAAACAAGATAAAAGACTTTAAGGAAGTGAAATGGCATAAGACACAATAGAATATAATTAAGAATTAGAAAAACTCAGAAGGTAATGAAGTAGGAAAAAATTAGAAATAAAATTGCATTTCAAAAATAAAGCTAAACTAGAAGGCACACAAAAGGGAATAAATGCAACATAAAATGCCCCAAGAGAGACAGAAGGTGAAGAACAGGGAAAACAAAGAAAAAAGGGAGAGAGAGAGAGAGAGAAAGGATTTGAGTAGTGACAGATTTTGAAGACAAAGAAGATCTAACATACAAATAAATAAGCATCCTTGAAGAAGAAAATCAAAGGGTGCAAAACTAATATTAAATACTATAATTAAAATTTTTTTTCCTGAAATTTAATTTTTAATTTTTTAATTTAAATTTTCCTGAATTAAAAAAAATTACTATAACCAAAGGAATACACAGCAAATGTGAAAATATCAAACCAGAATGACTAAGATAAAGAGTCACTCTAGTAACATTACTGGACCTAAGAAAGAAAAAAAAATGCTATGGCCTTCTAGAGTATGTGTCTTCTGAGAGAAAGAAAGTTGTAATATTATCAGACTTAGAGAGCAATACTCTACGCCAAAAGAGAATAAAGAAACATTTCAAATAAAGAAACCATAAGCCAAGGGTTTTATATCCAGCAAAAATGCCTTTCCAGTATGAAGGGCACAGACACTCACTCTATCATTAAGGAATAACTTTGTGAAGATTATTCCATGAATCCTCCCTGAGAACTCTCCCAGAAAATAAGCTTCAGTAAATAAACAAACAGAGAGACACTATCATAAAGACCAGGGTAAACACTAAATATATAGTTTCCGGTGGAAAACTATATTAAGACTAAAAGGGAGAGAGTAGAGGATGAAATGGCCACATGGTTAAGCAGGGTATATATAGGATGATTGCAAAAATTGGGGAATGAGAAGCATACAATGCAAAAAAAAAAATTTGTTTTTAATTCTTCTAAGTGTATTTGTCATGGTAGTACTAACATTATTATCTTGAGACTATTTGTATATAATATGGGATAAAGCAAATAACTATGAAATTCTAATTCAGTCAATCATCCTCTGTAACCTTAAGAACCAGGATTTTTAGGGTGAAAGAAAGGAGGTATAAAATACAGAGGAAGTGATCTATGCAAGAGTACCCTGTAGTCTGACTTAAATTGGAGTGATTAGTATGAACTCTTATGGTATTTTATTTTATACATACATATGTAGACAACTAAATAATTCCCTGGGTAGGTCTATAAAGAGGCCTAAAATCAATGACCAACCTAGAAGCAGTAAGCCCTCTTAGTATCCAGTTTGTGGTCTTGAAATAATCATTTTCTTCCAAGAGAAAGCTGGGCTACTCGGAGAGTGGTAAACTCCAGGTTTGGGATGAGAAATGGATTCAATGAGCCTGGAATAACTAGTAGGCTCCTGTCAAAAGACTCAGAAGCCAACTTGAAGAGATTCTTACTGGCCAAAGAGTATAATTTGAGTTTCTACAAGGCAAATAATTATAATGGATTGAAACCCAAATATGTTGAAGTCCATAATTCATAATAATAGTTTTAAAAAATAATTGCACACTTACAGAGGATCATAAGCTATCAATTCATTATCTTGAAAAATGCTAAATAAATGGGAAGAATGAAGGATTTAGTCTGCTTTCCTCTATGAACCATATACCATTGTTTCAACAAATCATGGATGATGGGAAATGCCTCTATAAAAGCGTTCCAATTAACAAGTGAGGAAGAAATGGCATGACTAAAATACCAAAATTTTGTAAGTCCTAAATGAGTATCAATAGTGGCTAACATCACGGAAGGAGAGACAACCAGATATTCTGTGTTTCCCAGTGAAAAAAACAAATACTCTTTAGAGTCTGGCCAAAGGGACCGAACATGAACCTGAGCCTCTAAGTCCCCCTTCTATTCTGCAGGAAATGCAGGGGACAGAGGAACATGTTGAACTGCACCATAAGTGTGCAATCAGCTACACACAGACAGTGGGACACTCTATAGGTCAAATGGCCAGGTTTTAACAGACTAGTTATAAAGCGAAGAAAGGAGGGAAAACCTGTAGATTAAGAGATTCAAAGGCAACACATAGTTTTTAAATGCGCAAGGCTAAATTCTACTGTTCAGGGACATAAACCCTTCAATGATAAACTGTAAAAAAAAAAAAACAACCCACCAGGAAATACTTGACAGTCCAAGTCATGGCAGTGGTCACCTTGGTGGAAGGAAAATAAATGGGACTGGGCTGGGACTTCTGCAATGACTGGCAAGTTCTAGTTCTTGACCCGGACAGTGGACTGAAAAATGTTTGCTCATTAACCTGTAATTTGGTTTGTGAGAATTCCTGTATCTGTGTTTTATCTTTAAATAAACAATTAAAAAGTTAAAAAAATAAAACTTTCCAGACCCCTTACCTGTGCCTTGGCCAATTTCTTTTCCAGGAGGTCCCGTTCCCGCTCTGTTTGCTGCAGACGTTTATTAAGCTCCACTATATCTCCCTTGAGTGATGCCAAAGCTGCCAAGTGGAGCTGCAGTGACAGAAAGCAAGGAGCACAAGGTTAGACCCCTCAGCAGGAACTCATTTCCTTCCCTTCACTCCCTGTAATTAGTATGATCATATGAAGAAATGAATCATCTCAAACAGGACACTTTTGGGTGCTATTAATCTCAGGGGACAACAGACTTTAATTAGGTGTCTTACAGGCAAGCTGGGTTATATGGTCACCCTGAACACAAAGGGGAGAAAACTGTCACGTGTGGGCAATGAGACCTAATTTTGGATGGTCGAATCAGGATGGAGAACAAAGCTCCTCATTCTAAGGGTCTTACCTGGGGAACTCAGTAAGGACGCCCTGAGGAGCTGGTGTGGGGCTTTCCTGAGTCTCAATATGAGAAGCAAGGGAAAGGCAGAACTGATTACTTTTACCTTTGGAAAATATGAAAGTTGAATAGGGCAATTCAATTTCCTGTAATTCAATCACCCTTATTGCTGCACGTACACATAGGCCAAGGGGCTGAGTATTTTAAAAAAAAAATGTGAGAGCTCATGGTCCCCTTTTAAAGTTGGCCCATTTATTTTCGTGCCATCTCCTCCTTCCTCATTGTCCCCAGACTAGACTGACCAGATGCCTCTCTGTGCTAGAAAGGCCTCTCACAGGAGCAGAACCAGAAAGCTAATAAATTATGCTGTGAAAAGACAAACCAAGAATCCATCCAGATATCTTTCCCCAGTCAACTCTATTAGGTCAACGGGAGCCAGAAAGAATGTTCTTCAATAGATTAACAAGGGCTACCGTGTACTTCCAGAATGTCGACCCGCTCAACTTTCAAGTTCTGAACATTGAGCTTCAGCTGCATGCACATACTACACACATGTCTTCTGTGGCTTCTCAGGCCGATGGATAGGGCTCTAAGGTCGGTTCAAAGCTCTGCTTCCAGGGCAACACCTTCACCCTTCTTTGCCTTCTGAGTCACCACTTCTCATATCTCTTCACTGTCAATTCCAGGTGGAGTTCAGACCAGGCTCAGGCTGAATTCGACATTATGGGTGAATGAGTAGAATCACAACAAATACTCACTCTTTATAAGTTTTTTGTAGCTTCTGCCAAGAGGGATTTAGAGTAAGGAGTGAGCAAATAAATTTGATCTTCAAAGATGGACACAGCACAACAGTACGTGATTCAACTTCAAAATTTTAATTTCAGGTTTAGAAAAATGCTCTTTTTGCAACCTGCCTCTCTACACTGCATGTTGGCTGGGAGGCTTGGGTGGGGAGTGGGGTGGGGGTTGGGGGAATGAAGGAAGATAAAGGGCAGGGACTGGGAAAGGAAGAAGGAGATGTAGGGCAGGGACTGGGGTTTTAGAGCAGTTGTTTATGTTAGACTTTAACAACAGAGAATCGTTAACTCCACTTAATTGCATCAAGGCTGCAAACCAACAGATCAATAGCTGACTTGAACTCAGGAATGCTTGAAATTTAAAAAAGGAAATGTCAGGCAATCTGGCAGTATTTGCCTTCTCATGTAGTGCTAGGGCCGCTCAGAAAAGGTCATTTTGGGTTTTAGATACAAGGTTTTGTGTGATGAATTCTCAGCACAAATTCCACAGTGTTTCCATTGCACAATCTTTTTGAGGCTTTTCTGCTTCCAGTATGGTATAGAGGGACCCTAATTCACTGACAGTGAATTGCCAGACAGCTGAGTTGCCCCCTCTGCCTCTGAACTGTCGATCTGAGGATTTTCTTTCCCTGTGAGACACTGGCCTGTTACCCTATTAGGTTAAGTCTTGGGAGAGGATCGACCACCTCACCCTGACAATCAAGATAAAATGGGATGGCTGAAATTTTAAGAAATATGTAGGAAACAGGACTTCCTGCTGTGGGAGCCTAGAGTTGCTTTCTGGCTCATGCAGCTCCCCTCCTGCTTCTGAGGGAAAGGGCTGCCTGAGAGGTTGAGCAGAACCAGGGGCAAAGGCTGACAGGGGAGGCCGTGTGCTTCATCCTGATCTTAGGAACTGGGCCGGGTGGAGAACCACACAGAGTGATTATTTCCATCAGAGTACAGGGCAGAGGGGGCCTGGGTGACTCACTGATACCAGGGAGAGCACAGGGCTTAGAGCCCATACCACCTCTCGTCCCACCAACTCTCCAGATTGCCAGAAAGACCCACAGGACATGCATTTGGGGCGTGTCCCTTCGCTTCCCTGGACGCCAGGTGCCTATCCATAAAATGAGAACAGACCCATTGTTCTCAATCGCCCGTGGGTCACAGATTCCTTATGAATCTCATGGATGTGATGGACCCTTCTAGAGAAGAGTCTGAATTTGGGGATCATGCATGTGTTCCACCTAATTACAGTGATGACTACTCTAGAGTATATGCTGAACTCCAAATTAAGAAACATCTGGTCTAGATGCCAGCTCTGTGATCACACCTAAGTTCTACAGACTGTCTCTTGGGTCATAATCACTGATAACTGAGTGGCGAGAAGGCCCTTGGAACTTGACATCTCTCACTTCCATATTTGCAGACAAGGATCTGCAACCCAGAGGCTGAATTGCTTACTCAAGGTTCCAGGGATAGCCTAGTCCCAGAAACAATGCTATTGGTGCACTTTCTTCATTATATGATATTGTAAGTGACAGCAATTTTTTTTTATGTGGATGAAAATTTAACTTAAGATATTTTCCTCTGATAAGAACAGTAATGAAAATGTAATAGCAAAATAAACTAGAAAGATAGCATTCTAATATTTTAGTGGTGGCTTCTGGATGGCTTCAAACTGTTCTGGATATTTTTTGTTTAATAAGTTGTTTGTTTTTTTTTTAAGAGAATGAGCCTTTTGTATTAAAGACACAAGAGAGTTGCAATTGTGTTTTCTGCACATGTAGACAATAGTACAAAAACTGAAAGGGGTTATTTTCCTTCCTTGCTGTATTTTATTTCCCTGGCCAGCAGCTCTTCTGATAGAAGGTACAAATTTAAAAATGGGGTAGAATATACATGTTCGCTAATGTTACTGCCAACTGCTCAGCAGAAGCTAACCGCAGAGGGTGGGAGGTAGAGCAGGAAAGTGCCTTCTCCACAAGTTCCAAGACTTGTTGCTTAGCATGGGGCTGAGTCCCCTCCCTTGCCCCCTGACCACCAAGCACAGGATGAGATAAGCTCCCAGGAGGAGTGGACACTCCCTGCGGATGTCAGCTCAGCAGCTTTCCCTGCCCCACCTTGTCCATAACTCAGTACTCAAAAGCCGGCTTGACTTTCCTTGTCCCTGGGCTTCACCCCGCTCACTCTGGCAGACCTGGTGGTATCCCTGCAAATTCAAAGGTGTGAGAGTTTGTGCGCAATGCCACAAGCACTACGTTGGGACCTGTGCAGCACAGGGCAAGCCATGAAAAGTAAGAAGCACAGAGGTCTTTCTGGGTAGTTTTTAAAAGGAGTGACAGTGGGCTTGAATCCTGGAAAGACAGATTCACCAAAGCAACCAAAGTTGTCACATATCTACAAGAGGAAAACTACATTTATACCATTTGGTGGGATCTCTTTACATATATTCCTGGTTTCTGAAATGGCCTTTAACTTGAGTCAGAGATTCAGATAAACAAACTATGAAGGACCATTAAAAGAAGGTGTTTCACTAACCAAAGAGAAAGAAAATATATGCTGTTTAGAGTCCATGCTAGTCTCTTCCCCAACACATCTTTCTCTTCATGCTCAGAAACAAGACGATTTTTAGCTGGTCATACTGCTGCTGCTCAGCTAAAATATCCCAGTTCCCAGCCTCCCCTGAAGTTGGAGCTAGGTGCGGCCACGTGATGAAGTTCTGGCCAATGAGATGCGAGCAGAAATATGTGCGTGTTCTGGGAAAATCTCTGAGAGTTGTCACACCCTTTTTCTATTCCTCCATCCTTGCTATCCAGCACATTGACACGATGGATGGGGCTCCTGCAGCCACCTTGCTTCATAAAGATGAGGTCTACACTCTAGGGGGCTGAAAGGTGCCTGTGTCCCTTGCACCTCTGTAGAGCCACCCTGCCAGCCTTGGACTGCCTACCTCCAGACTTCTGTAACAGAGCAGCAAGAAGGAGACCTCTGCTGTGTAGGCCGCTACTCTGGCAAGTGAAGCTGATCTAACCCTGACTTACGAAGAACCAGATATACCTGGGGTCAAATCTCATTTATGCCACTTGGTGACGGATCATCTTGGGACAGTTTACTTAGTCTCTTTGCTCTAACGCTTTCTTAAAGACAAAATGAGACCACATCAATAAACTCACCGGCACAGTGTCTGGAACCGGGTAAGCACTCCACAAATGTGCATTTCCTCTTTCCCAGCCAAGTTTTAAATCACCAAGTTTCAAGTAACATCCTCAGACTAAGCCCCAAAGGCAGAGAGGGACATTTGGACAAGTGAGTAGCACAGTGACGTGCTGGAGCAGCTGACCTCCTAGCAGGTATCAGCCCAGGACTGAGAGGCCGTGGCTGGTTTGCCAGATTCTGCTCAAGTCCTAAGGCCTGTCTTAAGGAGATGACTGCCAAGGCTCTTAATTCTCTGTGAAACTTTAACCCAAGGCCTAAGCAAGGTTGAATGGGACCTTGACACTTCCTATACAAATTTGGGTCTAATGCATAAAGGACATAAATCTGTACATACCTCATATTTCTGGAGATAGAAGGCACTAATTCCCTAGGCTGTTTTGAGCTCTGCATCACATTCATTTTACAGTGTGTATCCAAATGAAACCAAACCACCTGGAAATTTGACTGCAAGGTAACTGTCAAAATGGGTTGTTATCTCTGGACGAAATATTATTTGACTAATATTTCACTGTTCAACTGAATGTAAGGACAGCCTCACGCAGCCTCTCACAGATAAGGTGTCTAGCGGTCTGGGGCTCAGGTGAGAAGCCAGCAGTGCCTTTATGACATCCTCTCCCAGTGGTTCCTCCTGAATTAAGTGGATAGATACCCTTCCCATTACCCATCAGCCATGAGACAAAGGGCTTTGCACTTCTCAGGATGCCCTGTTA